TTTTGTTTTTTTGCAGAATTTGACAAAAATACTATATCTACGAGAAAGGTTCTTTTGGAGGCATCAAATTTCTCAGGTAAAAACAATTATTAGATATTTAAATAAATTAATTGCAATATATTCCAAATTATTTTATGCAACTCATCATCATCATCATGTGATGAGAAAACCAAACAAAAACAAATCATTTATGATAATAAATAATATACAAATATCAATAAATAATTTTTTCTATAAGGGCCTTTTCATGAGTTGGCTAGCTATGCATTCTCGTATCTAACTGCAAAAAGAATTTCTATCTTATCTCGAAACGAAAGGTCAGCTCTTATAGATGCTACACGAAAACACCTTCGCGCCAAGTGTTAAACTTAAACCGGTCGAAAAATCGTAGACGAAGCTTAGCGTGTATGTGTATATTCACTATTTTGGTAGCTCACCTAACACAAAGACTAAAGTTCATACACATGATAGTTAATTTGCAAAAAGTATTGATTGCATGTGTTGATGGTTAAGGTAAGTAAAATTAGTCATTGAATGTATGTGGAAGAGCAACATTTTCTATTCTATGTATTTGACCTAGATAGCTATGTAGCGTTACCTATGTGTATATGGCTCAAAGTGTTGATTAGGACATGGCAAAAATTACATAAAAAAAGGTTAGATAGCCATGATAATTAATATATAGTTTTCATTTTCTCTCTCAGAAAGGCACAACAGCAACGGGATCGAAAGCCTAAACCTATCAAGCTTCGATCAACCAATGGCGCCGGCCACAATCGTGCAAGACATTCGGTACCAAAAACTATAGATTAATTGGTCAAGACAAAACCGTTTTAGCTTTTCTATCTATCAAATCTCACAAAAAAGTGTTATAAAATTGTAGGGTTTTCGTGGCTACGTGGAATGTAGGTGGGAATACTCCAAACCACGAACTCAATCTCGAAGATTTCTTGCAAGTCGAGGGTTTTGCAGACATATATGTGCTCGGGTACGTTTCATGTATGAACGAACATAAAACGCATATAATATACCATAGTACATACCAAAAAACCTTTAAGAGCTTAACCTAACTAACTACTTTACCCTATAGTTTTGTGCTCATTTGGCAACCAAATTTCGAATTCCTACAAAAAAAACCTTACGAAAACATTCGACTAATAATTACGACTACATATTCATTTAGCTATATATTTAATTTATTTAATTATCAGGTTCCAGGAGATCGTACCATTAAGCGCGGGTAATGTTTTAGTGTCAGAGGATAACGAGCCGGCTTCAAAATGGCTAGCGCTCATAAGCCACGCGCTCAACAAACCGTACCACGAATCCATCTACTCATCGTCGGCCCAAAACCCGTGCGCAAACTCCAAAACCACAAACGGGTCGAAGGACTCGAAATCGAACCACATTTTCCACAAGCCGTCGCTAAAAGCACTCAACAAGAATCTCAAGGGAGATAGCGAGCTCCTCAAGAGTTGCAACTGTTGTAGGAACCCCTCATTTTCGAATCGAGGAGGGGCGAGGAGGAACTTCAGAAAGACCCACTTGAGCTTTAGCGACCCGAGCATGCACGAGTTTTTCGCGATAGCCGAGATTGATTTGCCGACGAGGCTCAACTATCAGCTAGTGGAGAGCAAGCAAATGGTTGGGATTTTCTTGTCGGTGTGGGCCCGGGCGGGCCTAGTGAAGGATATCGGGCACCTAAGTGTCTCTTGCATGGGGAGGGGAATCATGGGATGCCTTGGCAATAAGGTTTGGTTCTCTCATATGACTTATATATGTGTTCTTCCTTAGTTTGGATTAGTTCTTGCCCAAAACAAGAATTAACATCCATATAACTATGAGAAAAAAAAAAATAAATGAAAATGTGTGATTCATAACATTAATTTTGAGTAATGAATATGACTGAAATATGGGAAAAATGATAAAATATATGTACAGTACACTACAAAAAAAAAACACTATAATTCTAACAAAAAATTTGAACGGCAAAAATTTTCGTTGGAAATTCAATGAATATTCCTAACAAACTTAATTTTATGTTGGAATAAATGTTGGATAGTTGAGAAATTCCAACGGATTTTTTTCGTTGGAATAGCTGTAGGAATTTATTTCCATAGGATTTTCCGTTGGATATTTGCTATTCCAACGGCCGTTTTTCCAACAAATTTTTATACGTAGAAATATCCGTTGGAATAGCTATTCCAACGGAAATATAAAAAATTCCAGCGGAAAATTTCCGTTGGAATGTAAGAGTTTTTTTTTTTTTTTT